CAGGAATATTTGCCCTCGTGCACTTATCTGGATCTGCAGATGTTTGCGAGGAGGCACATTTTTTTCCCAATTTAAAATGAAATATAAGTAGCTTAAAATGAGACTGGTGCTGACAGAAGAGCACAACAGATATTTATCTCTGCGATCAAATGGAGCAGGCAAGGGATGGAAAGAACAATCTGTACCCGTAATCCCCTCGGCTGGGATCCCCTCCAGACACAGCTGGGCTGCCTCCCGATCACACAAGGGCAAGACTCCCTACCACAGACTTGGATGAGAAACCTCCATTCAGTCCTCAGACAGAACAGCAACAAAACAAGAGACCAACAGTAGGGAACCTTATTATTCTACCTCTAAACTATTAAGAGATGCGGGCAGCACTTACTGGGAAGAAAATGAGAGAATAACTGATGTTTCCACAGCGAGTCAACCAACAGAACAGTTCTGTTCCTGACACGATGAAGATGCCCAAGCTGAAAGTCAGTGCAGTGCAGAAAAGCTTTTAGCAATGTCGTTGTTACACCTACTGTACACACACAAACTTTCTGAAATCAGAAGTGCCATCAATTTATCACATTCATTTAATAATTTTCACAAGGAATAACTTATTCTCAAAAACCTAGCGAGAGGAATAATCAAGTGGTAATTACCCTCACGTAGCACAAAGCACTATTTGTAGTCTTTAGTTTCTTTTAGATATGCTACTGATCTGCGATGCACGTTTGTGGAATTGTTCAAGTATTTCTTTGAAATGTCAAAACCTAACTATCTATGAAGAGGCCCTCATACAATCTTCTTATGTTCTCACCAGCTGAAGTTTGCTGCCACAGACAGGCTAATTACTTGTCAAAGCCTCTTGATCATATTAAATATGGAAAAAAGCTCGCAACAAAAGAAACGTAAAACAAAAATTGTGAATTGGTGCGATTCAAACTGCAAGGAATAATAAATCAAAGGGATGTTTAAAAAAACCAATCTGAAACAAAAAAATTTAAAGAATGCAAATGGGTAGGTTCTGAGAATACTTTTAATTATTCATTGGGCATACAGTTTGAAAAGTGTTGATAAAAATTTAGCAGCACAGCTGCCTGACTGCTCTAAAGGAGAACTGTAAGCTTGCTTAGATGCTAGGTAGCACCAAAGGAAGTCTGACAGATTGACCAGCATTTTGGCACCCACTGCAGGTATTCCCTTTTGCCCTGAAAATGTTGATGTGGTCCCACTGGTTGGTAAGCTTGCAAGACCAAAGATGTCACAAGGGATTCAATGGCATTCTTGGAGATATGCCTTGATACTCTTCTCTGGTTTGGTTTGCTTGGGTTTTTTGTTGGTTTTGTTTTGTTTTTAAATATAGATGAAAATATGCACAAGCCTGATTCCATTTAGCTTTAAAAAGAACTTCAAGAAATGTGAAGGAAAATAAAGCTATGAAAGTACGAATGAAACCATGAATGACATAACACCTCCAAATAGAAGCGCTCCAAGACAAGAGATAGAAATGGCCTACCCAAATCCTTGATCAGAAGTATTAAGTCTAAAGACCACCTACACACAAAGACAGGTGGGTTTCAGGCTCTCTTTACAGCTCTGGAAACTAAATTAAAAGGAAAACAATGAGAACTAAATCCACATCAAAACATGGATCATGAGGATATGACTTCATGCAGGCACATGCAAGAGACTGCAAACTACTTGGAAAACAGAGTATACAAGTTTTTCCGGTCAATACACTGAAGATGACTTTCAGCTCAGTAGTAAGACTCTCTCACCAAGTCGTTTTTTTTTTCCTCCAAATGCAAGAGCTGATAGCTGTCAGCCCAGCATGAACAACTTATGTCAGAAAACATGGCATAAAACAGAACACCCATTGAAACGGGGACTGAACCAGAAATAATCTGTGACTGGTCACTTGAGCTACATTAAGTGCAATGCAGATGCTGGTATCTCCCCCTTTGTGTAGGCACAGGACAAAATAATGATCTGCTCTTACAAAACGCTGAAGCACTTCAGCAAGGTTGAGCGCAACACGGTCAGTGCAGCTGAGGGCGTGCAGTTAGCACAGGATCAGGAGCTGAGGCTGTCAGACACCTCAAGACAGCGTTTACACAACCAGGCATCCCTTCACCACCGAGTATCAGCTCATCTGCAGTCCCAACCAGCTGTTCACAATTTTTGTTTGTCAGATGTGCACATAATCAGACCTGTCAGAAGTCACACAAATTACAAATCCCTTTTTCACCTTGCTAGTGTGCAATGGCTCTGAGACAACACAACGCAGTCAGAACTCTTTTCCAGGAAGAGGAAAATAGGAAACTTAGCCCTCTTGTAGACGATCATCTCTGCAAGATATTCAATCTAAACTAAGCAGCCCAGAAACAGCGAAAGGGTTCTTGAGCACTACCCTCGCTCCCTTCTGCATTTCATTTGCGTTTCGCAGTTAATTATGGGCTAACAAAATGATGGGTTGTCTTTTCTTTCTGTCGAGTAATTCCAGAACTTACCAGACCACTAAGGGTTCAAATACACAGGTTCAACTAAGCAAAACAGCTACAGATAGTATTGTGAAAACACAAACGGGTTTTACCTTCCTTTGTGAGGTCTTCCTCTTTCTGGCACACCTGCAGATGTCCTCCGGTTCACAGTGGAGTAATCAGGATCCAGTTCATATCCTTCATCATCTACTCCAAGGCTGCGGTTATCATCTTCCAGTCCATAGGGCTCTGGCTGGGAGCGTTCTGGCTGGGAGCGTTTCAAGTCAACGTTGCTGCCCACTGGCACCTGAGGCTGGGCAACAGGACCGTAGTTATCCCTTCTGCTTGGCAAAGTGAAGCTACCATCGTCTGGCCGGTAACTGCTTCCCGGCACGTAGGCGTAGCGAGGACGGTAGTTGACACCACGAGACAAGCTCCCGTAATTATCAGACAGATCCCCATAACCATCGTGACCAACATAAGGTCGATACTGGCCTTCGTGGCCTTCAGGGTAAGAATCATTGTAGTTGTTGTAAGATCTGGTCAACGTGGAAGATGCTTGTGGCGTGATGTACCGCTCCCCATTCTTCATGTACCTTCTGTCTATTGAATCTGTGTAGCTGCCCATGGGAGATGAGCCATCCATTGAGGGCAGGCCATCAGGCCCAAGTGGCACCTGACGCACTGTTCTGGTGGTGACCGTTTTGACCATTTTGGTAACCTGTGAAGAAGTAGTGAATAAGTATGTTAATTTTCTTCTTACTGCACAATGTGATGAGACACGGGGAGCTAGAACAGTAGAACAAGGAGAGAACATCACAAAGCATACTACAGCAACATGCCTGTTGAACATGAGCACTGGTGTACTCGTGAGTTCACCTATTAGGTTTAGGACTGAACAGTGGGAAAAATATTTCCACAGAAAGCTGAAAAGACAGGTCACAGAGCCAGAGTTAAGTGCACTCCAGGACTCTTGCTACCAAATCAAAAATACTGCAGCCGCACCAGAGGGCCTTTATGTTCAGGGTTTCTTGCTGAAGTGTAAGAACAAAGACTCTTCCAGCGTTTCTAAGAACACGCTGCCTTCATGTGAAAGCTCTGGCAATCTGCATAAGACAGTGCTGGATAAAAGCCACTACAATTTACAGACTAGCAAAGGAACTTCTGTTTTGGTTGGCACCTGGGGTCCAACTTCTGTACTGCCTTCCAGAGTGACCAGCAAAAGCTGTTTTGAGGAGAATACAAAGTCCAGCAGAAGTCAATCTACCCTTTGTAACCCTAACCCTTAAAAAGTTACTTTAACCTGGAGTTACACCAACCCTAGTAAATGCTGACTCTTGGCTCTCTGTGGAAAAAAAAACAACCACAAAACAGCACACCCACAAAGATGAGAGGGAGAATCGATCCAACGCAGAGTATTGCACACAGGGAGGGAAGAAACACCAAACAACATTGTTAAGAGGTATTTTGGGTTTCTAAAGTATTACAGAGGTCAGTAAGCCTCAGTAAATGACACTTTTCTTCAGGTAAGCCACAGAACAAAATGCATAACTATAACACGTACTCCTGGATTGCTCAGTGGCTCTGAAGTCCCAATAGATATTTTGACCTACAGCCTCTGATTTAAACATTTAGATTGGCACCAGATTAGCCAAGCTGCTGCAAAAACCAAAATAATTAAAGTACATCTCTTGAAGTGGCTCCAGAGACATCCTCTGGCCACATGTTTTCACACAGAAACCCCAAACAGAAAAAATTCACCCAAACAGCATTTCTTTTCCTAGAGACATCTGTGAGCAAATGATACTTCAGCCTAATGAAGTAATGAAATCCTGCAAAACTGAAAGCAGCACAAATGGCTTTCCAGCAACAGCGTAATTAAACAGCATCCCAATCCTGAATAAAGCATAGCCAGGTACCAACATGACATTATCTGCTTTGGGCCAGAGCTGAAAGAATTTTTCCTCTTCAACCCAAAGGGATTTCCTTTGCAAGTAAATGTCAGGAAAGACGCTAGCTTCCATGCCTCCAAATCTTCTTTTTTATCTTGTTTTAAAAGCACACATTTTAATAACTAAAAGAAAGGAAACTGGAACTAAACAGTTATTTCATGACACAGAATCCAACAGCGGGTTTTGCTTATTACCTGCACACAATACTTCTATTTTCCACTCAGCGTGACTGCTGTCATAGTATTTATAAAACCAGACAGCATTTAGAGAAGAAAAAGAGCTGGTGTGGCTTACAGTAGCTCTTTGTAAAGTGGATATTCACCAGGCAACACAGCTTTTGTGTTTAAGTATTTTCCTACTGAAGACTGGAACAAAAGTTTTATTCAAAGCAATATGTTTATAAGTGATCTTCTAAGAGTAAGAAAAGCAACATTTCTCAGGCCTGAAATACAGGGGTTTCAGAAAGCAATGACAAAACTGGGTGCAAAGTGCTGGGCCTCTGCGTTCTTGAATTTGGGAACAAGCAATGGGAATAACAGGAAGTAAGGTAGCGCATCAACAAGCTGATAAATCAGAAATTGATATTAGCCCAGGAAGGAACAAAGAGGCAGCTTTCTAGATGCCAAGACCTCACAAAGCCCTTTCTTTCAGCACTATTCAACAAGAGCCAGATATTTTAAATCTAACTCATAACTTTGCTTTTCAAGACATATTCTGCCATGGGTGCACAGTTTATCGCGTGTAATTTTTCATAAAGTAGTCAAGATCAGACAATGTGAGATACTTAATATACCATGTCTGTCTGCAGCAACAGCATGAAAGAAGAAACAAGCTTCAACCTGCAGGGTCCTCGGGCAAAGGCTTTGCAGAGGAGGCATCACTGCTGCACGTCTTCACCCAGCTTTCCTACTGCCAGTTCTGGATTCTTGCTCATTTTTGACTGTTCAATTCTGTTGAGAATCACTGTTATTGTCAAACTTGATGAGGTAACACAATACAGAAACGTTATGGCAAGGACAATTGTGTACCAATATTCAGTACACAGAATCACAGAATGGTTTGGGTTGGAAGGGATCTTAAAGCTCATCCAGTCCAACCCCTGCCATGGGCAGGGACACCTCCACCAGACCAGGTTGCCCAAAGCCCCGTCCAACCTGGCCTTGAACACCTCCAGGGATGGGGCATCCACAACTTCCCTGGGCAACCTGTGCCAGTGTCTTATTACCCTCATAGTAAACAATTTCTTCCCAATATCCAGTCTCAATCTACCCTCTTACAGTTTAAAACCACTCCCCTTCGCTCTGTCGCTACCTGCTCTTTTCAAAAGGCCCTCCCTGGGTTTCCTGTAGGACCTCTTGAGGAACTGGAAAGGCCACAATAAGGTTCCCCTGGAGCCTTCTCTTCTCCAGGCTGAACAGCCCCAACTCTCTCAGTTGGTCCTCGTAGGGGAGGTGCTCCAGCCCCTGACCATCTTCGTGGCCTCCTCTGGACCCACTCCAACAGCTCCATGTCCTTCTTATACTGTGGGCCCCAGAACTGGATGCAGTGCTCCAGGTGGGTTCTCACCAGAGCAGAGCAGAGGGACAGAATGGCCTCCCTCGCCCTGCTGGCCACACTTCTTGTGATGCAGTACATGTACACAAAAAAGACAAAGCAGAATTTCAGAACACTTTGAAAATCAATTCCTAGACAATTTGTGAACCTACCAGTTACACTTAATGAGTTTTTCACCAAGCCCTGGTACTCTACAGAGTATTTACAGAGATATTTTTAATATATACAACCAACACAGAATGCAGGAGATTAATTTACATTTTTTTCCCACATTTTCCCTTATTTTCCTGTCTTCGAGACTAGCACAGACACGTTTTCAATGGCTGTGGCTAGTCAAAAAGATACACCGTCAGCCAGCACATGTAAGAACAAGTTTACAGTGTTAGCACAGCTTCACCTCTATTATGCTCTGAATGCTGCCCCTATTAACGAATGGAAAGAAGCAGGACAACCAAAACCCCCTTGTCAGACACATAAAAAGGAACGTTTCACTCAAGCATTAAAGTGCACGTTTCTCATAGCATAAAAGCATTCAATAATGCTAAAGGTGTTATGGTGGGGGAATCAAATCAAGCCTCCTTTTATTCTGAGAGGGAAGGAGTATTTGCACTCATGCCTCATTTGTCAGGGGCAGGCACTGAGACAGAAGATTTATCATGTGATAAACAGACTTTGTTGCCTACAGGACAATGAAGGGAAGCTTTCTGGAAGCAATTAGCCAGCACACAGAGGAAGGTCTATTTATTAGGTTTCCAAGCAAGAAAAAAGCCAATCCAACAACCACCAGCGAACCAAACATCTTTATTTCAGGAAATCCAGCTCAAGGGAATTTTTCATTTCTATTTCGTAAAAGAACACAGGCAGTCTTGAGCAGCTTACAGCACAGTAATCTTCTCTCCCAACATTTTTGTGGTTTCCTTAATACTAATGCATTAGCCAGAGAGAACGAAGCTATTCCAAATGGGAGTCCCAGCAGACTCTCTTATCTGAGAGACACCTGATCCTCCAGATGCACCCAATCTTGAGAAAGATTTGTTAGCATGAACTCCTCACTACAAACTCAGAGATACAAGTTACTCTGAGGAAGTGTAATTTCACTTCCTCTATTTACTTTCCTTCTCTAAAGAAAATCTGTTTAAAGAAGTTTTTTAGCCCAATGACAAATCAAAGGCGCTCAACTGTTCCAATGCTGCAGTCTCAGAGTACCAGACAAAAGCTTCCAATTACTTCCCTATGAAGAGGCTGCCTGAGTATGCTTAAAATACATTTGAAATTCTTTATTTCCTTCAAACTATATTAAGGTTTCAACCACAACAAAAAAAAGTGCCAATATACCAACGAATTCATGTCCCCTGCAACCAAAATCTTATGAGACTGCAGAAGTTGGTGCTTTCAATGCCTCCCCCCCTACCCCAGGATAATATAACTACATTTCAAGTTTACTGACCTTAACACTGTTCCTCCACCCTCCTCCTCTCCCCCTGAGGAGAATTATTTAACAAAATAATTGCTCTACAAGCCCCATGATGATATTTGCACTAATTCTGTTTTGGGAAATACATTCGCCAACAGAACACAAAGGAAATATTCCCACATGTGAAGCAGCTTCTGCATTTTCCTGCCCCTCATGCTTCTATTCCAAACAAGAACACCCAACGATTGGACTCACTGGACGCACGTGCTGATGGTGCAAGTAGATCCCCCAATGCGCACAGTGCTCAGGTACAAGAGGAGGAAAGACAGTACCAACATTTCAGTTGAGGCAGGCTATCATGGTCAAATGCAGTCATCTTAACCAGTACCTATAATTCTGCCTTACATTTTGGTATTCAGCTTGGTTTTGTTTTGACCTTTTTTTTTCCTGATAAATTAAGTATATTATTAGAGCTGACAGGGCTACAAATTTTGTCAAAACTATCTCATAAAACAAACAAAAACAAATGAATGCACGAATACAAAAGCATTCTGAAATTTCTGAGAGCTTATTTTCGAACAACAGACTGTAAAAATTAATCAGCCCAAACAGGCTGAAGCTATTACCTTTCTATTAAGTGCTGTGCAAGAACTCACTCCGTAGGTTTTCAAAACAACAGCTCAAATTTCTCCCCTTCAGTTTTAAGCATAACATTTCACATTTTGAAAGGGACCTCCACTTCGGCTGAATCCCATTCCTTCTCTATTACCCAATTCCCTTGAATTTTCTGCAAAGTTTCGAAGAACTGCATCTTAGGGTTCCCGGCACCACTACAACCAACCAGCTTCAGTCACGAGCACTTTGCCATGGCTGCCACTAGGAAGTGGGAGCAGCAGTTAACGGCTGTGGGGAAAGATCTGGCTTTGCCGAGTATCTGAAAGCACAAGGCAAAAGGATGGACTACAAATTAAACAACTTCGTATACAGATGAATTTCACAGTCTTATCATAAAACTTCACTTTCTATGAATAAAAGTGACCTAAATCTCTCCAATCTTTTAGCATTTCAAAGATAAAAAGCGCCTGAAGAAAGAAAAGAGCAAACATTAACACAAGCACAGACACATCTCATTTGCTTTGTCGAGTTCTTGAGCCACACGCAAGCAGGCTCCCTTTACCGCGTGGCAGTGCTCCAGCCCGCGGGCCAGAGGTGGTCGTTGCTCCCCAAGGTGACTTTCACTGCTTCAGCACGATAGGTATTTGGCTTCCAGAGGGATTATGAAGTTGAAATGAAGCATTATCTGCCACATCTTTAGTGCAATGAATGTTATGCAGGGACATAGTCTAGTACTAAAAGAATAACAGCTCGGGGAAAATTACTCAGCGATATCTCATTTTGAAAAGGCAGATGTTCTCTATTTAAAATATGTCAGATATTAAATGCTATTATGCCTTCTTCCTGTTTCGCTGCTACAGGTACCTTCAAATATGTGGGGGAAAGCACAGCAAAGCTGTCAATGCTTCTGGATAAAGGTTGTTTCCTTAATACAGTACTGAAGAGAGTAACCTCCGTAAATTATGGTTTTGAAACAATGGGGGGGAATAAAATAAATAAAGTAACAGCAGCATACAAGAGCATTCACATTTACAGCTTTTGCTATGCTCCAGTTCAAAAGGAGGAATTTCAGAGGCATCACTCTCCAGCAAGCTAAAGATACATATAATTTAGCAAAAATAAGTAACAATTTTCTTTTGAAGAATAAAAAATGCATGCTAAATGGCTTTAGGTTGACTAATCCCCACACAAGCTACGCAGCAAGGAAAGCATGCATTTGGAAAACATCTATGGTCTCTTTGGCTCTTAAAAAAATAAGATTTGTGTTATTTACTCTGTTGGAGGAAGCATCTTGAGCTGCTACTTTCTTTACAAGAAAAACATACTGGAGAATGTGACTGGCACGATTGTAGTTACAGAGGTCATAAAAACAGGTTCTAAACCCTTCCTCAAAGAAGTCTAGAGCAGCCACAGCAACGTAGAGCATAAAAACTTTCACCTGCATGTTGTGCTAACCACCTGGACTTAACTGATTGCTCAAAGAAGTATAAACCTAACCCCCTTAACATTTAAAGAACACAGCATGACCATCTCAACTCTAAATGTTGCCCTTATTAAGTAACAGATTAGATATTACTGAAAAGAGATGTGAAGATTCCCGCCACAGGAAACGTTGCTCCTTTAGAAGGATAAGATGGAGATGCACACTAAAGGAAGGCCAGACCGGAGGGGGATTTTGGGTTCTGGTTTTTTTTGTTTTTAATCTGAGAGGGAGCAGGCAGAGAGACAGAAGAGCAGTTTCTGGACTTGTCAAAGATCCTACTACTGCACAGGGCATGCCCAGTGGACGTGTGCTTGCATCTCTCATCCCAGAGAAACGCTTTCCTTCACCGTCCTTATCTGAGCAGCAAGGTCAGAATTTTGCCACTGCTCAGAGATCCCACAAAATTTAATTTTCTCTGTAAGGCTCCACATACGATAGTGTGACCTATAAAAGCACTATGATGATACCCAGTAGAAGTGATAGTAAGTCAATGCCAATTAACTCCAGGACACTAAACTGATGCTACTAAACACCAGTAACAACAGTTCTCATTTTCACATTCTCTACAAAAACAAAACAAACCAAACAAGCCAAAACCCAATGTGATTAAAAAAAATAAAATCTGACCTCAGATTCATATCTAAGAGCTGTTAAATCTAGGCCATATTATCACAGCAAGAAAAAGGGAAAACCAAACCATTTCAGAGACAACCACCAGCTCAGAAGTGTCACAGCAGCTCTTCTGACAGCTAGGGCTAAGCCAACCCCGTCTGTGTTTTGACATTTCAAAATCACTTTTCTCAACAACTGGATCTACTTATTTATTTATTTATTTAAGATTTGGTCATTTTAGCAATGAAATACTAGGAAACACCTCTGGATAGTATGAAAGTTGAAGTCAGCCGCATTATTTGAAACATCATAAATGCAGAGCAAGACAGCTATGCACCCTCCCCCCATTCCAGACACACTTCAGTGCCTGGAGTGAACTACAGGAACAGGAGAAAGCCTTGCTCTTGGAAACAGGAAGGTAGCTCCAGGGTCGCTGTTTTTCCAATTTTCTTTTCCCATATGCAGATACAATTCCTGTTTTGGAGTTGCCATTGTCCTTCTCTGTGGGAAGAAAAATAGCAGGTACACTGCACGTAGGAGAAAATGGCACCTCTCACACCATGACAAACACGCAGCTTTATCAGTGGCAGGACTATTTCAGACAAACTATTTCATTCCATACGGTCCTGTTATCTAGGGACCACTGCATGGCCTCTCCTCTATTTTTACAGCCATAGCTATCATTTTATCCCCTTGCATAGCTGCATTTACAGTCTCTTAAAACCATGCACTACTATTAGTGTATACAAAAAGCTGTCCATCCTCACCGTACTTTTATCACTTCCTTCCTGTAAGTAACAGTTGTTGCTGTTGCCACTAGAAAGAAAATAGCCAGTCTTTCAAATAAGCCACGGACTAAATACGTTTGACTATTTGAAGAGCTAATGAAAATGTGGGGGTTTTTGTCTGTCTGTTTTATTTTTACTTTAAGACCTTCATCTCCTTCCAAAAATAAGCCAGCTATATTCATCTTCTAACTAACTACAGAAAACATTACGCTAGGTACTCAGTTAACAGTAACATGTGCAGGCCCACTGACCTCAGGAAATGGACATTCCTTTACTCCAGCCTGAGGATCTGATGCCCTGAACAGATATCATGGAGAACTGCAAATCTGGAATACCAGTAAAAATAAACACTGATGTATGCAGTGACCTCTGTTCAACTCCTTTTAACACAGAAAGCAGTTGGACAGTCTTTTATTTAATAAGTACCGTTAAAATGTTTTTAAAAAGGGAATCACCCTCCAACTTTCACAAGACCAAAACCTAACAAGGATTTCTGCTCCATTTCCAAGACCCAAAGGACAAGGCTTACTGATGTTCCAGTGGTACCAGAAAGCATGCAAGGCAGCCATGAACACACAGCACCTGCTCAACAGAGATGGCAAAATTACCTTACACAAGGGAACAAAAAGACAACAGGAAAAGCGGAACACACACAACACCTGTAATCCAGCCAAACCCAAGGTGCAGTCACTTGAGAACACACCCAGCCTTCCCCATGCATCAGGAGTAAAATTCCTTTCACAACACAGCTGCAGAACTGAAATGCTATGGTGTTATTGAAATAGGATGTTTCCTGTTCTAAAGGACAAACACGCTGTTATTGTAGATCGTAACCAATGTAAAGACGTATGTCCAAGCACATTTTCTTCAGCTGCAGAAGTAATTTACTTCAAGCCCTACCAACTCATTTAATTCTTGTATCACTGTATGCGTTTGAGGGCAATGCTTTGAAGCGTTTTCGTAAAATAAAGTGAATCTTAAAAGAATAAACAGTCTGGGAAGCGGTTCTAGTGGTTTTTGTTTGGTTAACCTGGATAATTTCTACTGTACATTGCACAGCTCCATGAGCAGCTGTATCAGCACAGCTGACAGGGAGCAGACTGGACATGAAGGCAAAGCTGAAAAAGCCCTGAACTCAGCTTTGCTGGCAAACAAAACATCCAGAGGATGTCGAGGATCACAACAGCATGACTGTCATCACTCAGGCTGCTCCCTGCTATTTTTATTTTGTGAGCAGGCGGCGCAGTGCCGTTTTCCTCACTGGTTAATAACCTCTCACCTTGGTTTCAGTTCTCCTCGTGGTGCCATCTTCTGAAGTGACAATGGACACATGTGAAGTGGGAGTGCCTGGGTCTTCCTCCACTGTGACTGTCTCTTCCACCATTTCTTGAGGCTCTTGCATCATTGCTATTGATGTCTGGTTACTGGGGCTCTGTTCCTAAATGAGCAGGTAAAAAACAAAGAAAAATTAACTTTTCACTTCTACTGTCATGGTATAACTGTTTTATTGATTCCAGTTTTCTCAATTGAAAAACACGTTACCCAACAACTTCCAAGTAGAGATTCAGAGAAAGAAGTATCTACCGTCTTAAAGAAGCATGCTGCAGCTATGCTGGTATGGCTGAGCTCAGCTCAGCAAATGGAAATCGTGTGAGGACTTCATATTTATAGGCAACCTACTACAGACTAACAGACCACTACCTGATATTTAAACCTGCTTTAAGCTTTCTCTTCAATGCTCAGCATAGGAGGAGTGGAATTTTTGTCTGCAAAAACATTGTTCCTGTTCTGCAGTGAACAGGATCATCGCCTTTAAAAGCAGTTAATCTTAGACACCATTAAAAGGTTATTTCCATTTGATAAAATACACTCAGCTGCAGACTACAGAAGGCTATAAAACAGTAAGGCCTACTGTTAAACTGCCACCTCTCTCAAAACTGTCCAAAGTAATGAGAATTTAAAAAAATGGACAGCTAGAGATTAATAGCTGAATTATGCGAAATGCTACCCTTCTGACACCTTCCTTCATTAAGTCTGAAACACCTAACTGGCTATAAGCTTACATAAAATTTATAACAGAAAGACAACATAAAGAAACCTAAACAGAAAGAGCAGCTGAAAGGCCGATTCTTGCAGGTGTACTGCCCAAGGAGAACACTTCTGCTTCTTGCCAGCACCAACACCTGAACTTTCCTTTTTCTTAAGCAATCGCACGTCTCGGCACAGAAATCAGAGAAGCTCCCCTTTGGTAGATGAATGTATTTCAGGAGTTTCACAGCAAGTGGCCAATAAAGAACTGGCTTACATGCTGAGAAATATGACTTTTCTCCAGCATTATGAATCCTTAACTACGTAAAATAAATGACAGACACTTCATTACGTGCCCTGAAGGTATCGGGCCACACTGGCCTCAAAGCCAAAGCAGGGCTTCTATTTGCACATCTCAAGCAGGCACAGAAAGAACATCCTTCATTAAGGAATACACACGCAAATACACACACACAGACACGCTCTATTTTGATTTAAAAAAAAAGGGAAAGGAATGGAATGACACAGCACCCTAAATTGCAAAGTGAGTGCACTTTTTCTAAAGAAAACACTGTGGGCAAATCCAGCGTACCTTCTCACAGCACAGGAAAACAAAGTGATTGGGATGAAACTGTTACTGTGCAGATGCTGAGTCTAATTACGTAAAATTTTAAATATTTTCTGCTTGCGAGCAGCTTCATCACCAGGGAACTACGACATCTTATTTTGTAACATTTTATTTAGAAAAGTTGCATTTCATCCCAGTGATGAACTCTGCATTGCCCCCTCCGCTGTGCCATGTTTTGTGTAAGCCATGAAGGACAGTATCCTTCCAAGTGACTTTATGCTGCCAAGCAGGAACAAAGTACTGAGGTCTCATGAAGCTGCACAGGGAAAAGTGTCATTTAATCCATGTGTGATCTATGATTTTCTTTGAAACAAGCCAAGATGCTCCTGCTCAGTTTCCTTTATTTACAGCTGTATATTGACATTCTGGATCTTGGACATCAGTAAGGAAGCTGCTTTCATTTTCAGGTAAATGCTAATATTAACCAAGACTATGACATTAAGCCTCAGGCAATCATCTCAGTCAAAACACAACATGGACAGCCTTCAAAGAGAACACATGCTGGACCACCAGAGGTGATACAGGCAGGCACTTCCATTCCTATTAAAACCACAGAATAACTCAGGCTACAGAATCAATCAGCAAGAATAAGGCTTCTGAAATCCTAAAGAAAACCAGTCCCTCCGGTCTGCAGTACTTAATCGTTATGGCCAGTAACTTATGATACACACTGTATTCCTCTATGGTAGGGCTCTCATGTCAGATTCTGCCTTCTGCCCACAGCTTTGGAAGGGAGATTAGCTCCTGGGACAAATACATTAATCCCTTCACATTTCTCTTTGAGATGCTATATTCTAACTGCAACTCCATTTTTCCCACTGCACAGTAAAGAGAATTCACACAATACTGCAATTCAGTAAAGACTTAGAACTTCCATTCACCTTCATGCAACCCCAACCCTGCCAAAAGCAAAGAAACCAGTTACACAAAGATTATTTTCTATCACACCTTGTCTCTGTAAACCTCCTCGTCACCTCCAAAGCACTGAATGTCAAAACTGTTTCAAGGAGGGACCTTCTCACTCTCACACACTTCTGTACATACACACATCTCATCCATCACCCTCATTTCCAGCTGCATCTTGAGGTGACCGCACAATTCACATCTCTTCATTCCCCTCTAGATTCTTCAGAGGCAAACTCTGCTTTGTCGTTTTAAACCCGAGGAGATGGAAGGTGGAAAGAAATATTTCTCTCTTTGAGCTTTTGCAAAACTTTTTCTTTATGAAAAAAATAGTCTCCCTTTGTATGCAGGCTGCCTGTGGGCAAAGGAAACCTTTAAAGCTGGGCACTTAAACATGAACAAATTGCAAACTAGAGCATATTGACTTTAAATGAGCTCTGCACTAGTTTTTATCCTCTGGCTGCTTCTAAAATGAAGATTCAGGGAGATATGGTACAGATCTGCACTCCTACAAGAGAAAACCCTTGTTAGCAAGAGACAGTCCTAAGCATCCGAAAGAATAAAAGCCTGCAAAGTTCAAGGTAGATATCCCAACACAGGCAACTAACCAGACTGCATCTTCTTCTGTCTTCCTTCTTATTATGTGAGCTAGAGGAACACAGGGAGCAAAGAGGAGAGCACACCATCCAGCTTACTCTTCCCTGAATTAGTTTAAGGAGGTAGATCTCCAAACTCAGTTCTTTCTCCACAAAGCTAACTTGGAGTTGTCACAAGCTAACATTAACATAGCAAAGATGCAAAGATTTTGTTACCTGTTTTTAGTTTCCATCATTAAGAATTTTAGGTCATCACAAATTGCAGAAACTGGGACACACTACCCCTTTCAACCACCTTCCTCTGTGCTCAGCTTCCCAGTCAGTATTTAGGACGCTCTTTTGCTAAATACGTCTCAGCATCTCAGATTCCAAACATATGGCAGGTGAGCCCAATTATTCAAAGTAAAACACAAGTTGCCAGAGAGGCTGGAACATGACATCCCCTAATGAATAATCCTACCAGTAGTTCCCTGCCTGCTAGAGGTAGCCAATTCCAGTTTAAAACAACACACAGACACTTCCCTTGCTGACGGCTTTCAAAGAAAAAACCACCAGACAATTCCTCTTTTCTTATCACATTGGGAACTCAAGTCTGCAGGTCAGTGTCTGGATCAACGGGGTCCGTGGCCAGGCTCAGCCATGGCTGCAGCTCAGCAGGAGACCAGTAAGACCAGTACTCCTCCAGCATAGCCAAAGCATGGACTGAGGACTCAGGGCTGAGCTTAAATAAACAGAGCTCCCAGGTCTCTGGGTGGAAGTCCCACCTGAAGCTTGTCAGGGTCACTGAGGTCTGTCTGTGCCCTCAGCTGAGGGAGCCCACAGCTCCTCTAAAATGGCAGCAGGAGTTCTCCTCAATAAACACACATAAAGGTGATATCCTCCCCAAAATTGCTAAGTATTACCCACGAGGTCCCTTTCAAATAATCATCTTTGGCTCCCTCCAAGAGGATTACAAAAAACCCCTCCAAGTATCAGAACAGATTCCAATTCAGATATTGTACAGGGCATCGGTAGCCATGGCTTTTCTCCTTGCTTTTTTGAGTACCAAATGAACCCTATCATGTTGATCTGTGCTTGCATCTCCAGTGTGCTTTAAAAAAAAAAAAAATCAAGCTATTTAAAAAGCAAAGCAACAATAAATTCATCCCCTGCATGTAAAAGTTAAGTGCAGATGAAACAGCTAAAGACCTTGTAAAATAAGCAAGAATCATAAAATAACAGTAATTCTTGTTTTGTTAAAAAACAGAGTGATTTACCATTTAGGGCACATATCTCCTAGGGCTTATTTTGCATTAGAATACTACAGCTCCTATAATCATCACCATTTCAATTCCTAGAGTTACATTTCCATCCAAGCAGCTATTTTATATCTTTTTTAATAAAAGAATAACCTCCCTCAGGAGGATCAGACATCTTACTTTAAAACAGTAAACAAAATTCCTTATTCTCTGCCTATGAAACAATTTTAAACAGTCTGGAAAGAATATAAAATTGCAGGAGATTATTACTTCCACCAAAATAGTCTCTTTTCAAAATCACTGAAAACGTACATCGAATCATCATTCTCCCAGAGATACCCTTTGTTCAGCGGATTGCAATTCAGGCTTCTGCTTACTCCAGGCTACTGTCGGATACCCAATTTGAAGGTTCTTGCAAAGCACAAAGGCTGGATTCTACACCAGTGGACACACTTGTCCCCAGTCGACCCAGCACACACAAAGCTTAAGTGTATCAGCTCTAGCGAAACACATTACAAGTCTGGGCGTAATTAACGGCATTGGACAACAATGCTAATTTAATTAAATGTGGATTCTCTCCCCTCCCACTATTCTTTGTTTAAATTGCTTATTAAAGCTTCAATCTCTGAGAAACATGATATTATCTGCATGTGCAAAGCAGGCAAACATCAGTTTTGTCAGAGTTGTGTCTTATGCTGACATTCTGCCCCACTGGTCTCCTTCCAACCTAGGTCTGCACTTCCAGCTCAGTCGTGTCCCCAGATCTGTTACTTGCTGAAGGCACCTGGAGGAGAAAGGAAGACAAAAAAGGCGAGTCTGCAAGAACACATCAATCCAACAAGTATGTCGAGATGTGCATCAGATGGGTATCCCAATGGGACATCAAAGAGGAAGAAAAAACTGAGGGAGTCTGTTGAATTTGGTGTGTCTGTGATAGATACTTCTCCAACAAAAGATCCGGCTCCCCAGAAGCCGGAGACTCTCAAATCTGATTACTCTCACGTTCTCCTGCCTCCTCAGAGCTCCCTTTCTTTCACCACA